CGGCTTTTGAGAGTGAGACCGGCCCTATAGTGCCTGTGTCCCTCTTCATTACCTTCACGGTGCGCGAGAAAATGCACAACAATGTGGCAATCGTGGAGCTGGCTTGCGGCTTTGTTTCAATGCGGACAAAAAAAGAAAATCGTGTGGAAGCTCGAAACTGTGCAGTAGGCACCCGATTCATCAAAGCTTTGAACACTCCGCAAGCGATTGCCTCATCAAGCTTGGAGACCTCTCTGCTGCGTCCCCAACTGGTACATGTGTGTGTTGTGGCGCCTGGCCACACCTCCTGCTCCGACGGGCCCCATTCTCGACAATGGAGGGCTGCAGGGCCGTCATCATTTCAAGAGGTTGGCAGGCGTGAATCTTGACGTAGAGTCGACACGCTGGAGGCAGCGCATCTACCCCGGCCCTCATCATCAGTTCTCCTCGCCGCTCTCCTCGCCGCCGTTGCATTCGACGCACATGTACGCGGGCTCGGTCCACGACGTGTCATACACGACGCACCGGTAGCAGAACGTGCGCTCGCAATCGATGCACCCGCGAAAGAATGCCTGGCTGCAAGGCTCGCAGTACTTTTGCATGCAGTGCATGCAACGGCGAGGGTCATAAAGGGGCTCCGGAGGTGTCACCGCCTCGGCTCCCGCCTCCGACACCTCAACGCACATGGCACACTCACGGAGGCGGGCATCGTCGCGAAGCCTACCCGGGTAGCGGTCCTCTTTGAGGACACGCAGCGACTCGACGCTTGCAGCGAGCGACTCGAGTGTCGCAAAGGCCGAGGCGTCGAAGGGCGTGGCCTTGACGAGGCCCTTCCGGAAGACGGCGCGGCGCAGGTCGACAGTACGCAGGACAGTCGAGCCTCGGAGCGGCTCCAGGCCGCTGCCGTCGATGCGAGTGCAGCCAGCGAGGCTAACGGTCTCCGTGTGCTGCTTGGCCTGGACGCGCTCGAGCAGCTTGGCCAGCATCCCGTCCGTAAGCTTCTCGGCACCGGAAGGTGGGAAGCTGATGTTGGTCCAAAGCGAGCCGTTGCTTGCAAGCGCCCGCACAACTTTGTTGCAGCGGGCGAGGCGGCAGAGGTCAACGAGTTGGAGGGTCTTGCAAACCGCCAGTAGGAGGTCTTCGGCGAGGTCGAGCAGGCGGAGGGCCAGGTCGCCGACCGCCGGCGGAGGCGGCGGCGGCCAAGGCTCCATTAGCCAAAGGGAAGCAAAATGATTGCGCGGATAATTTTCTTTTTTCGTCCCGTGCCTACCAGGTACTCGATAGTGTCGAGACGATGTTACTACCTTACTAGTTACTTTATTGGTGCAGAGAGAAGAGGAGGAGGTGGAGACAAGGGGGAGAGTCGAGATAAGGGAGAGTCGAGAGAGCAGAGAGCAGGCGGTCCTCTCTAGCATGCCAATGGCCAATGCCACTGGGCCTCGTGTCTTGCAGCCAGTGCGGACTGTGTTTTAGGATATCGCGGATTATCCAGCGACAAAGTGCAAAAGCGACGACACGATAATCGACATGGACAGAGGCTGAGAAGAGACTACTTAGTACACACCACGTACAACGGGCCCCCGAGCCCTCCCCCTTTCCAACGGCGCACACACACATGACAGACAAGGTATAGGGCTACCTGATGGTCATCGAGTTGAGGATCGACACCTTTGCGGCGGCTCGCTCCTTCTTGGACGCCTCGCCGCCCGAGAGGATCTTCAAGAAAAAAGAAAAGAGGCCGCGCGTCAAAACGTGCAAGTGCTGTCTCACGACACTAGGCACGGGAATGGCTCGCACTGGAAAAAGAAACCCGGCCGTGTTACGTATTCCTCAGCACGACCCGCCCCGATTGCCACTGCACGCGTCCCGACAACCGCCCAGCCTCAGACTCGGCTCAGATCCCGAAAATTTGATGATTCCACGGAGTTTCGTAATTTACCATACCACTCTCTGCTCATACATGTACCATACCACTCCCTAGGAATGTCAAAAAATAAGTGGTAAATACCACTCATTTACCAGTAAATCGCCAGCACTGCTAGTGATACGAGAATACGTACAGTACCGCCCCCACGCAACTACTCGACGATATAATACGAGAATACCCAGCGGCGAGACGCCTATAAAGAAACAGCGAGGTAAAGTTCGGCGGCTCTGATAAACCGAAAGTTGTCGTAAAACGCGGGCGAAAGCAAAGCAGAGGACGGGCACTTTCGCCGCAGCGATGCCCGCAGCCTGTCGAGCAGCTTCCGCGGCGCCCATGCGCCGCGGGGTTGACCGACAGGGACAGCCGCGCCTCTCGAGCCACCCGTGCCACGCGCGGCGACTCTTTTGGAGCACTTGGAGTGCAGTCGGTAACCTTACCTTACCTCATATCGAGGTCTAGAGAAGGGGGGGGGGCGGTGGAGAAGGAGGCGGTGGGGTGGGAGGCCGTGGCGCGTGTGTGTGTGTGTGTGGGGGGGGGGGGGGGGGCCAAAAAGGGGGCGGCGCCAAAAGGGGCGGCAAGGAAAAAAACTGGGAAACCCCCCGCGGGGGGAAAGGTAACGGGGGTAGGAGGGGAAACGGCAATGGGGGCGGTGAAAGTGGCGGGAAACCAAAGGGGGGGCCGGTAGGGGGGACCCCAAATTTGGGAGGGAGGGGGCAATAAAGAAAAAGGCCCCTTAGGGGAAGGCGGCCCAACCGGGGAGGGAGGAAACAACCCCGGGAAAGGCGGGGGAAAAAAAGATGGCAAGGGAGGCAACGGGGG